ATATATATATGTATATATAAAACACATATAATATATTCATGTCAGGTACCTGCATCTTTTTTGCCTTTATTTTGCTTAGAAATTATTTCAAGTTTATAGAAAATTTGTGAGATTAAGCATAGCACAAGTTATACATATATGCTTTATCCCAGTTCATCTATGAATTTCACTAGATGAGATCATCTGCTATTTGCCTTTTGCTTAATATATATCTTCTCCAGTTCTATCCATGTTTTCACCAATAGTCAGATTTCATCTATCTGTCTATCTATCTATCTATCTATCTATCTATCTATCTATCTATCTATCTATCTATCTATATCCTACCTATCTACCTATCATCTCTCTCTCTAAATTATGTCTATCTCAATACTATTCCTGTGTGTGTATGTGTACGCAATTACCAAATTTTCCTGATCCATTCCTTTATTGGTCACAGGTTGTTTTCATAATTTGGCTATTATAAATAGTGCTGCAGAAAACATAGGTGTGCATATGTCCCTTTGATTGAGTGTTTTTGCATTTTTTTGATAGATACCTAGCAGTGGCATTGCTGGGTTATATGGTATCTTCTTTTGATGTTTTGAGAAATCTCCTTACTGTTTTCCATAGAGGCTGGGCCCGTCTGCATTCCCACTGTGAACAAGAGCTACCTTTTCTCCACATCCTGCTGGAGAAGGTATAACTTAAATATACGCAATGGTTATGCACTTGCTGCCTGTGACTTTTCTGGTGACCTCTTGTGGCTGATCTTACTCCCATCGCCAGTGTCCTAACCGAGATTGCTTCAAGTGGTGACTTAGGCCATGTGAGTGAGTTGGTTTTACCAGGTTTCTCCTATGACTACAAGAGGTATGCATAGTATCATTAAAGTTTCTTTTTGCCTCCCCCCCCCCTTATCAATCTGTTTGATACCTGTTTATTTTGCCTGCCTGTCAGAAACAAGAGGGGTATGGAAAGATTTTGCTGGGGCCCCTGCGGATTACTGGGAGAGGGAATATACTTTAAAATTTAACTAGACTAGAAATTAGATGCCAGAAGACATTAAATCTAAAAGCAAGATACATCCATTGATTCCAAAAAGAGCTAGTCCATCTTGTTGTTTACCTGTAGATTCTTAAAGTGGAAGCTACTGACATCATTGCATGGACTTCTCAGAGTTGGACTCTGGTAATAGTAAACTGATCTGGTTACCTTTTTTTTTTTGACAGGTTATCACATTTTATGAACTGAATGCTTAAAGTCGAGAAGCTCAACTTCCCTTCTTAAAATTATACCATTTATTTCTAGCCTCTAGACAAGATGACATCAGGAAATCTGTAAATAAAGAGGACAAATTTGGATAGTGAAGGATAAAAGGGAGAAAGGGAAAGGGAGTGAAGGTCACAAATTTATATGTGCATTTCTGAGTTACCCTAAATCAGTTTTACACCATGGCTCCTTTTTTCTGATTTTAAATACTGTGACTTTCCAAAAAATCAGTTTCACAAAAGTAAATTAGTAATCCTCAAACCAAGTGACAGTCACTTTTGATTATCTATAATCCTGTCCTCTCCAATAGCTCCTGCAATCAAAAGCTACAGAAGGAAACCCGGTTCAAGTTTTCAAACTACAGAAAATAAGAACAAGCAAAATGCAACACCTCAATTAGGATCTGTGGTAAATCAGTAACAAAGCTAGGGATGAAATGTTTCTATGCTAACTTTCAGCATTAGATCACTAACTCACACTATTCTGTCTCTAATGAACACTGATTATTTTCAAAATACAGAACTTCTGCTCTTGGCAATGCTGGGCATGCTGCCGGCTCATTGTATTCATGGTATCACTGGTGGCAGAAATGAAAAAGTTCAATTAGATCATCTTGTCCTCTTCCTGAGGACACAACTTTGTCTATTCAACTGCAGTGGTTCAGCTGATGAAAATTTTATGTGGATTGAGAATTGATTGCAGGATTCAGTCTGCAGTAGGCATCAGGCTGAATGGGATGGTAGAATGGGCATTGAAAGGGAAAAAAGTAGAAGCAAATTGGGAAACACTAGAGGAATAGACCACTTGTAGGATCACCACATAGATTGGCTGTTAGAGATCATAATTCATCGGTGGACAAGGCTGTTGAGCTTATTCTAAATAAAAATGAAAAAAATATTGCATGTCTTTCATAGGAAGACCATTCAACAGAGTCAAATTTCTGAGTATCCCTGGTTAGTTTTCTTGTTATTTTCTTATAGCTAAATTTGAATCAGGACAGAATAAAAAAAAAGTCTAATTAAAAATAGATCTTTTGCTGTTTGCTGCCACCGTACCATCTTCATTCTCTAACCCCAGCAAGGCTTCTAGCTCCCTGAAGACCAAGTGAAAGAGAATGGGGTTGGTAAAGAGGTCTCTACCATGGCTCCTAAAGCCCTCTAACTAGAGATAGTGGGGATGGAGGTAAAACTGGGCACAAGAGTCCTGTAACCCTGCGCCCTCCTCTGGATAAGTGGAGCAACTTCATCATTACAGGCATTACTGGGGCTCTTTAAAATTGGAGGTTATCAGAAGCCCAAAGAACCTCTAATTCATGAACCTCCCTTCGGAAATCTGGCCCGAAATTTTAAAGTAGTTCAGTGCTTACAGAACACAGCTATTGGGCCTTTGCAGGAAGCAAATGGGACCTATCTGATTGGCCTGTTTGAAGAGATCAGTCTAACTGCAGTCCATGCCAAACAAGTAGCAATTAAGGCAGAAGACATCTAGCTACTGTGTCGCATATTTGGAGAAGGTGCTTAAAAACCCAGTATGATGGGAAATATTTCAATCTCAAAATATTTTTTTGTTCCTCTTCCTGTTATTGGTAGTTCTGAATGTTAGATTTTTTCCCCCTCACTGAGTCAAAAGATACCTAAATATATACCTGGAGAGCAATTGCATCTGCCTGGAGGCAGAGTCCCTGGCTCGCCTGGGGCTACACATGGCCATGTCTGGGAGCTCAGGTGTCCTTAAGTAGGAAGTGGTGGTCCACTTGTTCCCTGTGTGGACCACAGAGCTACAGGAAAGCACAAGGAACAGCAGGCCCACTGCCCTTCAGGAACAGGTGACTATATCATCTCACCTCTTTCTCTTTTATTCTTGCTGACTTAGACACCTCTTCATTTGCATTTCAACTTTAGAACACACGTATTTACACTGCTAAAGAACTGGGATTGTATCTTGCATTTGGGGAGCCAGGAATTTAAGTCAGAAGGGAAAGCAGATGGTGTAACTGTGTTGAGACTGCAAATGGTTCCTAGTGGAATGCAATCTCACCTCAGTGGTGCATGGGGGGCAGCTGGAGGATCTGGAGATGGAGGCAAAGACGGGGGATGCAGGATCCGGCTCAGCGGGCAAGGTGTGCAGCCTGCAGTGCCTGTCTCTGGCATCACAGCCCTGTGAGCCACTAATTGTGTTAGCACGGTTGTGGAGGCCTGTGGCCTCTTGGCTCCCAGAAAGCTGCTCCTTCCAGTAAGGTTACGTTATGTATCCTGTGAGCTGTGATGCTTGGAATGGATTCCCAAGAATGCCCAAGGCAGATCTTTCTAGGTTCCTCCTTGGGCACTGCACATTGTAAAATATGAGGATCAGAGTCATTTATTACCGGCATCTTCCTCTTCGGGCGGCGGATCAATTTCCTTTTCTCCAGATGGCTCTTACAGGCCAGCCAAAGAAGGGACTGCTGGCCATCTGCTTCCTGTTGCCTTTTCAAGCTGGCTAGGCACTCAGCAAGGCTGGCAAAGCCCAGCATACCAGCTGTCTGTCTAGGCCTTGCACCTTGCCACACTAGGCAGGATAGGGCAGGGGCCATGCTGAAATCAGTGCTTGACATTCGTGAGGTGGGAAAGCTGCTTCCAAACCTATCAGCTTCCCTGATGGCAAACATAAAATGATGCCTGCCCTGGGACTTCTGACAGTGCGTCTTTCACTGACTTGATGTGGAACGAAGGGGGATGACTTTGGGTAGTGGAAAGGCAGTGTTTGTGGTATATAGGGTGCGATTTAACATGATTCTAAATGCTGTGCAAGTGAGACAATTCAATCATAATTTCTAATTTACCCTCTTTTTGTTTTTTCTAGTATTTCTAATTAGATGTTTATTTATTTCTGGTGGCAAAATAAACATCCACTCATGGCAGCAAATCTGTAAAGTGCAGCTGGAGATTTAAAAAAATCACCTATAATTGCATGAACAATAGAGAAAACTGCTATTTGGTTGACTATCCATTGTTTTCTTTACATCCTAGAAAAGTTGAACACACATTGTATAATTTTTGTATTTTAATCTTCTGGCTTAATGTTATCAGATAAACATTTTTAAGCTTTAATCAACATAAGTATAATAAAAGTATTTTGGTGGCTAATATTACATCACACAAAATCTTCACTTGGTCATTCTGTGATTTCTGGACTTCACATTCAACTTTTAACTATTTTAAGTAGTGCTGTCATGGTCATCTTGTACATGAAACTTTTTCTGCCTTTTAGATTGTGTTCTTGGTTCCTTGCAATAGGTTGTCCCAGGAAAATTTACCATATTGTGAACTTACTTTAAAATTGACTATTAGAAGTACTGGTTTTAGAGTTCTTTCAACAATAGGAATTTTCTTTCTTTTTGAAATTTCAGGTGATTTGGTGCATTTTCCCATCTCAAAACCACAGGTATTGAAGGATAAGAATGGGTCGCCTCATTCACCTGTTCAGCTGCACCAGACCTTCATTTTGCCAAGTTTGTGAGAATGGATCAGGAGCATAATCTGGACACTGATTCAGAAATAGGGATGTGTTGTGTCACTGCGACAGAAAGGGAGTTCTTGCTCAGAGCCCTGGGGGATGTTCCCCTTGAACTACGCCTTTTTCTTGACTCACCTCCATTAAATGCCTCCTTGGCAGTCACTGACAGCCCTGTCTTCAGTGGCTCCTTCCTGAGGCCAGGTGGTGCCACTGCCAGGGAACAGTATGAGCACCCTGCAGAGTAGGGAGGCTGAATGCGCCAAGCTGGGCATGCTGGTTGGCTGTCAGAAGAGAGGTCTAGGAGGAGGGCTGGCATCCTGCTTGGAGGCACTGGCTTAAGAGGCCAGCACAACTGGCTTTCCCTGGACACGAGTGTGAGCCTGGAGTACCTGGTGGGTGGTGAGGTATAGTTGTGTTATCTTATTGTCATACCATCTATCACAGTCAAGTCTGTTAAGATCTATCTTTGCCAAGTCTTTCATGTCACCCACAATTCCGTACAGCTTTTCCACTGTCATCCCTGTAGAAATTTGTGACCTCTCTTCAGATAAGTCCAATTTTGACTATTTTCTCTGGGTACCTCCATTTCCACTCCCTCAGCTATGCTAATAATTTTTTTTTTAAAAGATTTATTTATTTGTACATACAGAACTGGGGTACAGGCCAGAGGCTCAGGGGCGGTGAGAGGCTTCACCAGAGAAAGGGTGGGGAGCAGAACAGGCAGATCTACGCAGTACACTGCTGAGGGAAGCAGCGGGCGGGTCAGGAGAGGTCTGCCACGCCATGTGGTCTCCTCCGGGGCAGGCGGGATTTGAAATCATGCGGAAGTGGCTTTAGCTTCTCAGTGCTGTGCTTTAACCCGCTGCGCCACCAGGGAGGGCCTATGCTAATAATTTTGGATCGAATTTCACTCTCTCCTTTCTATATCTTCACAGATATAGACTACTGTTTATGTCACATAGTTTGTCTATGTGGGCAAGTCTCTGGCATCAACAATCTCAGAGTTTCTCAGAAGAGGGGTTCAAGTCTTTGTTTTATTTATTTATTTTCAAATCTTTGTTTTAAATTCTGGTCTATATTAGACCTTTCCCTTGAGCTCCACATTCATTTCAAGATAGCTACTTGATAATCACTCCATGGACATCATACAACTTGTTATATGCAGAACTGGACTTGTTCTAGTCATCCCTAATACTGAACTGACACCCTTACTACCTAACTCTCACCCCAGTCACCACGCCAAAATGTATGTATCTCAAATCTGTCCACACCCATCTGTCTCCACTGTGTAGCTGCTATTCTATTCTCATACGTCCCAGATCTCATCCATTTCTTCTGTGCTACAGCCCAGGTGATCTTTGCAAACCATAAATTTGATCGCAGCCTGTCAGACTACATGTCCTATTTAAAAAAAAATGTTCTTTTGCTAAAAATATATAACTAACATGAATTTCCCACTTAAATTATTTTAAGTGTACAATTCAGGAAACTAAGAACATTCATGCTGTGCTGCCATTACTATTATTTCCCAATCTTCATCATCCTAAACAGAAACACTGCAATCATTAAATTTTGTAACCACATTTCCCCCGCCCCCATTACTATAATGGCTAATTGACCTTTCTCTGAATTTGCCTATTCTAGGTGTTTCAGATGAGTGGACATTAAAATATTTGTCATTTTGTGTTTGGCTTCTCTCACTTAGCATGTTTCCAGAATTTATGCACATTGTAATCTGTATCGGAACATATCTGGGGTGTAGGACAGAGGCGTGGAAGGTGAGAGGATTCACCAGAGACAGAGTGGGGAGCAGAACAGGCAGAGCTACTGAAATATACTGCTGAGGGAGCAGCGAGCAAGACAGGAGAGGTCTGCCATGCCTTGAGTTCACCTTGCTAGCCAAGGATCAAATTTGTGCTGCAGTGGCTGAGGATAGCTTCATAGTGCTTGCTTTAACCCCTTGTACCACGAGGGGGGCCCCCATTTCATATTTTCTTATGGCTGTGTAATACCCAATGGTGTGACTGTACCACATCTTGTTCCAGTTATCTATCCAGTTATCTATCTATCTGCTTCCAATAATGCTTGTCTTATGTTGATGGTTTCATTGTTTGGATATATGCCCAAGAGAGGGATTGCTAGGTCATTTGTTATTTCCATTTTTAGTTTTTTTTGAGGTAAATCCATATAGCTTTCCATTATGGTTACACCAGTATGTATTTCCACCAAGAATGTAATAAGGTTCCTTTTCCTTTTATAAGGTTCCATTTCCTACTGGGGGTTTTCTAAATACGTGAGATGCTTTCTCACTGTGGTTTTAACCTGCATTCCTCTTATTAAGAGCAATGTTGAACATTTTCTCATATTTTTTTAACCTCTGGATACCTCTAGTGAATTGTCTGTTCATATCTACTGCCTAATTATTAATTGAGTTGGTTTTTTTAATTGTTGAATTGTATGAGTTTTTAAAGTATATTTTAGGTATTAACTATCAATTATAGATTATGTAAATATTTTCTCCTATTCAGTAGTGCATCTTTTTAATTGTCTTGTGTTTTCATTTGCTGTATAGAAAGTTTTTAACCTAAGATAATTCCAATTACTTAATTTTATTTTAAATTCCTTTTTCATAAGGGTTGAGTTACCAAAAGCATTTTTATTGTTGATATAGCAGAAAGTATTACCAATGTTTTCTTCTATGTATTTTATTATTGCAGGTATTATATCTAAATCTTTAACCCATTTGAAGTTTATTTTTGTGTATGGGGTTAGTAAATGACCCACTTCATTCTTTTATGTGTGACTTCCCAATTTTCTCAGCACTACTTATTGAAGAGACTTTCCTTTCCCCATTTTTTGATCATAGCTGCTTTGTCTTTATTTTGTTGCTTGTATGTGTGTAGATTTATTTCTGGGCTTTCAATTCTGTTCCATTGATCCATGAATCTGTTTATGTGCCAATATCATGTTTTGAGAACTGTTGCTTCATAGTAAAACTTGAACTCAGATAATGTGATTCGTCAGCTTTGCTCCTTTTTCCTCAGGTTTGCTTTTGTAATGCCTTTTGTGATTCCACATAAATTTCAATGCTTTTTTCAGTTTCCTTGAAATGTATTGGTGGTATTTTTTTTTTAAGATTTTTTAAATTTATTTGTGCATACAGAACTGGGGTACAGGTGAGAAGCTCAGGGATGGCAAGAGGCTTCACCAGAGACAGAGTGGGAACAGAACAGGCAGATCTACAAAGTACACTGCTGAGGGGAGCAGTGGGCTGGTCAGGAGAGGTCTGCCACACCATGTGGTCACCTCCGGGGCAGGCGGGAATCGAACTCATGCGGAAGTGGCTTTAGCTTCTCAGTTCTGTGCTTTAACCCACTGCGCCACCAGGGAGGGCCGCATTGGTGTTATTCTGATGGGGATTATGCATTTGTCTATTTTAGGCAGGATCATCATTTTGATTACATTGATTTTCTGGGAAACCTTTTGACATAGTCTAATATGACTCCATTTTTTGTACCTCTCCAGAGTCACTGGATCTTATCTACGTGTGGCCTCAGTCACCTGGGCCGTATAGAGCCTGCACACTCCAACTCCTGGACACTGCCATCTTGCTCTTAATTCGTAGGTGAGTTCTGGGCTGTAGCATATCCCATCACCCCCACCATAAAGGTACTGCTAAGGCCCGTTGCCTGGGTTCCACCTGAGGCTGATCGACCCAGTGCCTCCTGAGTCAGATGCAACTGCAGTGGATTTGGGTTCTGATGCCCCAGCCCTGGGGCCAAGTCAGATAATTCAGTAATACAAAGGAGGGAATTACATTTCCAACAGGAATTTTGACTGTCTAGGTAATCCTGTCTCTAGGTAATTCTAATCTCTTGCTCTCCAGCTTCCAAACCTACTCAGAGTATTCTGAAGCATAGCAGTTTCCATATGGCTTCTGGAGCTGTCTAGTATGACGAAGGATTCAGCTGTGGTTTATTATGCATGTACCCCTTTTTACTTTCCCTGCCTTCTGTCTTGTTTACTAAAGTATTAACCACAGGAGTTTTGCCCAATTCTGATTTCTATGGAAGTGTCCATCCTCTGCAATCTGGTAACAACTCATGCATAGCTCTGTCCTAACTTCATAATCTGTATGCTGATTGTTGGTTTGCTTTTTGAATATTCTTAAGCCTAGAGGCCTCTTGGCTTCAGTGATCTCATTAGTTCGCACCATTGTTGGAATATGTATGTGAATTAATAAATAATTTTTAGTTCATTAAGTGGCTGTGTAATATTTAAAACAAGAAGGGCCTTTAGATGTTTTTTTGTTTTAAACCTCACCATGGAGGAGCAAACCTCAGGCCAGAGCTACCAGAGGATCTGCCCTGGATTTCCCCAGGTCATGTGGCTGTTGCATAGCCTGGCTTGAGCCTGAGCACTGGTGCATGGGCCACACAGAACGGCTTCCGGCTTCCTTTCTGAGAATGATTCCTTTCGCTTAGGAGAGGAAAACACCACCAGGATCTATCTGACAAAACTGTATTTCTTGGGCCACTTTAAATCTCTGGACTATAAAATTCTTTGACACTGGGACCTCCCCTGGTGGCACAATGGGCTAGGACACGGCACTGCAACTAGCCACAGCCACTTCAGCACGAGTTCGATCCCCACTCTGGAGGTGATCCACATAGTGCTCCCCTCAGCAGTGTACTTTGTCAATCTGCTTGTTCTGCTCCCCACTCTGTCTCTGGTGAAGCCTCTAACTGCACCTGCATCTCTCACTTATACTCCAGTTCTATATGAATTAAGTAAATAAATCTTAAAAAAAAAAAAGCTCAACATTACTTAAAAAAACAAAAAGGTCGACATTAACAACAGGAAGCAGTGTATCTTTGGTCTTATCTCCCATCCCATAAAGTTTCTTCTTCCTTTTTTTCCCTGGACGTTTCCAGGTGGGGGTTCACATTTGATTGCAGACACATTCCACCAGCTTGCCCGCAGCACCTGTCATTGCATTTGTTTTCTACTTGGTTTCTGGAAAGCAAAGGCTTTCCAGATGAACGTCTACAGGCACACCTGCAGAGTCCAGGGGGCTTCTGCTCTATAACCTGGCAGTCCTGGCCCCTGCCATCCCCCAGGGCCTGTTTCTTGCTGGACTTCTGTGTGTCTGCTCATTGCTCAAGAGCTACCATGTGGAGTAGAGTCCATGCTCCTCTCGTAACCTGAAAAGGAGAGCATGTTCTGCATCTCAACTCGATCACCGTGTTCTGGAACTCGGATGCCAGAGCATTTTTTTGCTGAGGACTCCTGAGCATTGTTGCTCAGGAGCAGAGTTATGTCTACTTATACCACACATGGTGTCTAGGTGAATCTCTAACTATGAGTGTCTGGGTTTAGTGACAGGTAACTGACTGGCCAAGTG